CCCACAGGGAGAGGGGTAAGAGCGGGGTAAATACCCCCCCACCCACAGGGAGCAGGGTAAATACCCCCCACCCACGGAACGGGGTAAATACCCCCGCAGGGAGAAGGGTAAGAGCGGGGTAAGTACCCCCACCCACAAAGGGAGAGGGGTAAGAATGGGGTAAATACCCTCCACACAGGGGTTGATTGATCGTTGCCTCTTGTATTGAGATACAGTGAAAAGTGTTGTTTTGCGTGCTATACAGTCAGACCATAGCAGTGTTATAGCTGCAGAGAAGGTGCAGAGAGGGAGATCAGAAGTAATTATTGAGAGGTCCGTTCAAAAGTCTGCTAAGAGTGGGGAGGGACCTTCTTGAATACCCCCCCACACAGAGTTGGGTAAGAGGGAAAAATGCTCTTACACAGAGGAGAGGGGACTAGCACAAAAGAGCCCCCCACCCCACATAGAAGGGTAAGAGAATGGTTAAATGTAAAAAAAAGACCCTTATTCCCTTTTCACCCATTCTTCCTGCCCTTCTTATCCCCTCTTCTCACCCCTTTTTTTTTCTGGATTCCCGTCTTCTGCTGTCCCTCGCCTCCTTCTGCCTACTATCCTCTCCCACCTCACTCTACCCCCTCGTATCAAAGGCCTCTGTTTCCTTCCAAGTCCTTTTGTCTGCTGTCTGCCAGAAGATGCTAAAAGGCTCCTGATGTTTCTGTTACAGAGAAGTGCAGCAAGTTCCTCTTGGAATTCTACACTGACACTGGACTCGGCAAGAAGCATTTCAAATATGCAGACCAGTTGGTAAGAACCTCCCTTGTAAGCTCTCCGGGCCCTTTCTGACTGTCTCACCTGCAGCTCCTGTGTCATCGATCTTCCGTGAGGCTCAAACACACACGGTCTCTCCCTCTCCTGTGTGCCGGACTCTCTAACCTCATAGAGAGTGCCTTCACTTCTCGTGAGCACAAATTTATCCCTGGTAATCAGAAAAACAGAAGAATTGATCATTGTATCTTGTTGCGGTTTGTGTGGGAGCTTGCTGTGCACAAACAACATAAAAGTAGTTCAGTTTCGAAAGGTGGCCGTGAAGCACTTTTAAAGTTGTCCTGTTGGGTTTGGAGGTGCTTCAGCAATGCTCATTTGTACTTTCGCACTGCCTGTCGTGCTTTTTAGGAGCTGGAATGTTTGATTCGAACTAACTCCTGCCTGCGCTGGGTCTGTTCCACCAGACTCTGTATCCTGGGGGTGGGGGTTACCACCTGGAAGATAACACGTGGATACGCAGGGTTAGTGGGTAACTCTCCGATTTGCTGTCTCATTCCCAAAGGTGCAGATCGCTCACCGTGAGCAAATAGCGCTCTATGTCGACCTGGACGATGTGGCGGAGGAGGATCCAGAGCTGGTGGACTCGATTTGCGAGAACACGCGCCGCTACGTCAGCCTCTTTGCCGATGCCGTTCAGGAGTTGCTGCCGCGTTATAAACAGCGGGAGGTGAGAGCGCGAAAGTCATACAATCATCGAACCCTGCAGTGTGGAAGCAGACCGTTCAGCCCATCGAGTCCGCACCGAAGAACCCACCCCTTCGCCCTGTCTCTTTAACTCTGCATTTCCCCATGGCTACCCACCTAGCCTGAGCATCCCTTGACGCTATGGGGCAATTCAGCACAGCCAATCCACCCTAACTTGCACATCTTTGTGGGAGGAAACCAGAGCACCCGGAGGGAACCCACGTAGACGCTACGGGAATGTGCAAACTCCACACAAGGCAGATTGGACAGATAGGCGAGATTGGAACTTGGCAGGGACAAGGCTGGGATGGGCGTGCCCCCTTCACCTACCGTCACGTCACAGGTTTAAGGGGCGACTGGGGTCTGCGCTCTGGGTCACACCTTGTCTTCCCACTCCATGGAATGGAGCATTTTAGCTGTGAAGAGAAGCTAGATAGATTCAGGTTCAAGCAGAAAAGGCTGGGTGTGGAGACCTGAAGGAGGTGTATAACGTTCATGTACACGATAGATAGGAAGTCCCACCACAATAGTATAATTTTCTCTGTTTTTCTGTATTTTTGTTTCTGGACTGACATCGGAGCAGGAGCTGGGTTGAAAACGAAGGGTTGCTGCTCTATATAAGCAAGTCTTCTGGCACTCATTAGAAGCAGTGTTTGCACGACTGCTCAGATGAGCAGTAGCGGGGCCCAGTTTGCAGACAAACAGGAGCCTATGCCTACGATGGCTATACTAGCTTCCTCTGCTATAGTCAAACTTGGGTGCACCCACCTCATTCTGGCAATACCTCTCCAGTCCTCGTAACTAAACTTCCTTCAGTCGTTTCTATCCAATAGGAATTATGTGGGCCCCTGCAGAATCTATCATTGAACCTCCTCCCTGCCTCACCACTGCCCCACTTTGCAACATAACTTAACAGCCTTCCTCCTTTGGCAGTGTGATGACGATGTGATAGTAATTCTCATAACGTGGCCAGTGATCCAGATTCTCCTTCATTGAAGAGGCATAGATGAGGGGGACATAATTTTAAGGTAAAAGCTGAGATGTTCGTGGGGGAATGTGAGGAAATTTTTTTCACCCAGAGGGTGGTGGGGTCTAGAACGCACAGCCTGGGACGGTCGTTTGAAGTGGGTGCAATAACTCCACAGAGACAGAGTTCCAAGTTACCATTTATTTGCATGTGCACTGTGCGTGATACTGACACAGCTAGCTCAGAACCCCTGACCTTCCTGTTTATATCTCTCAGCCAGGGCTCCCTGATTGGGGCTGTTAACCTGGTCCAATCAGTGAGCCCATATTCTACGTTATCCACCTAGCCCACTTCATTCCAACCACGACAGTGGGAAACCTCACAACCTTTTTTTTTTTTTGAAAGAAAATTAACATGAGTGTTGATTTGAAATGCTATGATGTGCTGAAACGGTTAAGAAGGCCTTGGGTTTATAAATAGAGACCTTGAGTATAAAGTCAAAGGAAGTAATGCTACACCTCTAGAAATCATTGGTCAGACCACATTTGAAGTATTGTGTTCAGTTCTGGGTACCTCATTTAAGCGAAGATGTTAAAGCACTGGAGAGAGTTTGAGATTTACTAGGCTGATACTCTGAAGGATTTTAGATACAAGGGAAGTTGGCCTTTTTCTTCTTGGAGCACAGAAGATTAAGAGGTGACCTTACTGAGGTGTCCAAAACTATGAATAATTTTGGCAGGATGAAGGAGGATATATCATGTTTCCACGAGTTGGTATGTCAGTAACTTGAGGGTCACAATTTCTAGAAAGCTAGGAGTGAGATGGGGAGAAACTTCTTTACTTGGAGAGTTGTTAGGATTTGGAATATGCTGTTTGGGAGAGTAGGAGGTATCAAAAGAGAGCTGGATATATGTTTGAAAGGGATGAAGTTGGAGGGCTACAGAAATAGGGCTGGAGAGTGGAACCAGCTGGGTAGCTGTTTCGGGAGCAGGTACAGACACGATGGGTCAAATGGCCTCCTCCTGTACTGTAAACTCAATGACGTACAACGCTATGCCTCAAATACTGGAAAGTGGGATTAGTGTAGATAGGTTGGCACAGACTCAATGGGCTGAAGGGTGTAGGAGTCCCCTCCCTGGGTCTACGTGATGCAGCTTCCCATGGACTTGGCTATTTAGTAGATGCCCAGCTCAGACACAAGTCCTCCCCTCTGGCTAGGGTAGGCTTCATCCTGCCCTCCTCCCGGAGAGAAATCTCTTCGATTTTCCCCAGCGAATGTTTGGGTTTGTGATGTACCCTTTCCCCTTCAGGTGGCGAACAAGGATGCACTGGACGTTTACATCGAACATCGGCTGATGATGGAGCAGCGGACCCGCGATCCTGGTGAGGTCCGCGATGCTCAGAACCAGTACCCGCAGGAGCTGCTGCGCCGATTGTGAGTCTAACTGTGTGTGGGCTTTAGCAGGGTCGGGCGGGGTGAGATATCATTGGGAGAGGCTTCGAGGGCAGAGACAATCCCTGATCCGGGTTCAGGGTGCTGGCCTGAGGCCGAGCTTCCGGGGCTGGGAGTCATGGTTCAGGTGCTAGGTTTCCTATTAGCACAGACCATTCTACCCATCAAGCCTGTGTAAGTTCTGTGAAAGAGCCAGCCCCTCAAACGTTAAAAAATTACGTACTTAATCCTGTTACTCAGTTCACAGGATGTGGGCACCGCCTGCATTTTTTTTTGTTATTCGCTCATGGCTGATCGGTGTCACTGGCTGTGCCTGGTATCTATTGTCCGGTTGCCCCTTGAGAAGATGGTGAGCTGCCACCTTGAATTGCTGCAATTTACATGCTGTAGGTTGACCCACACAGTGCTGTTAGGGGAGGGAGTTCAAGAATTTTGACCCAGTGATGCTGAAGGGACAGCGATGTGTTTCCAAGTAAAGATGGTGAGCGGCTTGAAGGGGAGCTTGCAGGGGTTGATGTTCCCATGTGTCTGCCTGTCTTTCTCGGTGGTAATGCTTGTGGGGTTTGGAAGGTGCTGTCAGAGGATGCTGGTGAGGCTGGCGACCCTATTGCCCTACTTGCTCGGTCAATTCCCAGCCAATCACGTTGTGGGACAGGTGTCTCATGTAGACCAGGCTGGGTGAGGACGGTAGATTTCCTTCCCCCAAAGTGGACAATAGTCACCATCCCTGAGACAGATGACAAAATTTGTCAATGGAATTTAAATTTCACCGACTCTAAGCGGTGAGATTTGAACCCGTGACCCCAGAGCCATTAGCCGGGCCCTCTGGATTGCTGGTCCAGTGGATTGCCAGTGCGCTGTTACCTTCCGTTTTTGGATGCGGGAAATTGGAAGCAAAAGCAGTGAATGTTGGGCATGCTGGGCAGGTCAGGCAGTGTCTGTGGGAGTAATAGGCAGGCATTAACATTCCCGACTGTTCAGCACCCCTGGTAAGTTCCTGCCTTTAAGGAGGTTTGTTTTGCACTGGACTGAAGGTCTGGTGACTGTTGACATGGTTGCAGTCAGAGAGTTTCACCTGGAGCTGATACTTGTGGGGCTGAGGTGAAGCCTTTCAGGGGGACCTTGAGCCTTAATCTGCAGGTGAATGGTCAGAAGCTTCCTAGTTCCTGATGCATCTTGCTGCTGACAAAGGAGAGCCTTGTCATCACAGCTGTCTTTCAGGATCCTGTGCCTCTTTCTGTGAAAGTGCAGCAGGTGTCCTGGATGATATTTAGCTCTCCTTCAGCGTCTTCCAAGATTACCAGACTGATTGTATAGGTGGCACAGAATTAGGCTCAGTGGTTAGCGCTGCTGCCTCACAGTGCCATGGACCTGGGTTCGATTCCTGCCTCAGGCAACTGTCTGTGTGGAGTTTGCACGTTCTCCCAGTGCCTGAGTATGTTTCCCTCCCGGTGTTCCAGTTTCTTCCCGCAGTCCAAAGATGTGCAGGTTAGGGTGGGTTGGCCATGCTAACTTGCCCATAGTGTCCAGGGATGTGTAGGTTGGGTGGGTTTAGCCATGGGGAAATGTGGGCGTACAGTAGAGGTCTCCGTCTGGGTGGGATACTGTTCAGAGGTTGGTGCAGACTCGATGCACTGAAAGGCCTCTTTCCGCACTGTAGGAATTCCCACGTGTGAAGAGAGGCTGGATCAGTTAGGACTATGTTCCCTGGAATTTAGAAGATTGAGGGGGAAGCCTCATAAAAACCTACAAAATTCTAACAGGGCTGGACAGGGTGAACATGGGAAGTATGCTACCATTGACTGAGGGGTAAAGGATCAACAGTCACGCTCTTAAGGAAACAGAGTAGGCCATGTAGGACTGGTGAGGAGAAATTTCTTCACCCACAGAGTGGTGAGTCTGTGGAATGATCTAGTTGAGGACAAAACATCAATGTTTTCAGGAAAGTAGTTCACTCTCTCAATCCCAGGATCTGCAGGTTAGGTGGAATGGCCATGCTAAATTGTCCCATAGTGTCCAGGGATGTGCAGGCCACGTGGGTAAGCTGTGCTAAATGCAGTTATGGGGATAGGGTAGGGGTGTGGGTGGGATGCTGTTTGGACAGTCGGTGCAGACTGGTTGGACTGAATGGCCTCTTTCTTCCCACACTGTAGGGATTCTGTTCCACGATTTCTATTTAGCTTTTAGGGGTAAAGGAATTAAAAAGTATGGGGACAAAGTGACAAGAAGGTGCTGAAATGGATGATCAGTCCCATCATATTGGTTGGCGGAGCAGGTTGGAAGGCTATATGGCCCCGTTCCTGTCTTCTTTGTTTCAATCACATTGCTGTTCCTGTTGTCTTTTTTGCCCTTCTCCCCACCCTTCTCTACATGACTGCAGTGATGACGTTTCCAAAAGCATTGGCTGCAAAGTCTTTTATGGCGCTACTGAAGTTGTGTGGGGGAGAGAGAGAAGTGTGTTGGGATGAGAGTCCTTGTTTTGTGAACTGCTGGGTGGAGGAGGGGAATGGGGAGGTGGACAAAAGGGGCCGAGCGGGGCAGTGAATACGCTGGTGACGCTCGATGATAACTGGCCTGTCTCCTCCTCTCTTTGCTGTCCGCAGCGAGGTTTACTTCAAACCCCCCAGTGCTGTGAAGCCGAAGGTGATCCGGGATGTCAAGGCAGAAAGCATCGGCAAGCTGGTGACCGTCCGAGGCATCGTGACCCGAACGACCGAGGTCAAGCCCATGATGGTGGTGGCTACTTACACGTGCGATCAGTGTGGAGCAGAAACCTACCAACCAGTAAGGATGCAACACCTTGTCAGAGGAACACAGACCTGCCTGTTAAGGGAACTAACTGTTAATCGGAGTTTGTAAGCTGTGGTAGGGGTGGACTCGATTGGTGAGCGAGAGACTGTGTTCATTCCAACCAGAAGCAGATGTAGACTGTTCAGCCTCTTGAACTTGCTGTACCACTGTATGAGATTGTGTCCGATCTTTCAATTTCTGCATTCCCATCCATCCCCGACAACCTTCGATTCTTCTGCCTGGCAAGAGTCTGTCTCTGTCCTATAAATGTTCGGTAACCTGGTCATGGCTCTTGAGGCAGAGTGTTCCAAAGTTGTATGATCCTCAGAGAGGAAAATGTTCCATTCGTAAAACGGTGACCCCTAAATTTTAAACTGCCCGCTGCGTTCTGGACTTGCTGGCACAAGGCCGTCTCATTCCTGTGGAGGAAGTGTCTGTGTGAGTGAGCCCCTAGTGTCTGTCCCTGCACTCACTATGTAACTGTACCCAGTAATCACTGTCACCTTTCCTTCTGGGTCTTACAAAAATGTACTACTCGGCACTCAGACCTTTCCTGTGAAGAACTACCACCCCCGCCTCTCGCTCTGTCTTCGACCCTCTCCTGCAGTGTCCCTGTCAAATGCGTTTTCTGTCTCTACCCTTCTCAGGCTCTCTTCCTGTCAAACGTGTTCTCTACCTTTGCCCGTCTGATACACGCGCTGCCAAGCATTCTCCCTCTTTCAGTCTCTCTCTCTCTCTCTCTGTTTTTTCTCCGTGCCCCTCTTGTACACACTCTCCTGTCTGTTGATATCCTGCTCTTTCTTTGTGCTCCCCTCATACACATTCCTTGTCAAGCATGCTCGCACTGTCTGTCGCTTGCTCTGTGCACCCTTCATTACGCTATCGCTGTCGAGCACTCGTCTATCCCTCACTGTGTCTCTCTTCCATTCCCCATCCCACCGCCCCTCTCATTTCATGTTGCCTCCTGACAACGAACCTCATCTAGCCACCATCCAACCGTAGGACTGTCCTCTCATTGATTATGTCTCTTTATTGTGGAAGCTGAATCTTGGGATATTCTGTTCGGATCACCATCTCTCTTTCCCTGCATGTCCCTTCCAAAAAAAAACCATCAGGCATCAGACATTCAGCTCCTTGAGCCTGTTGCATCTTTCAATGAGAACATGTTGATCTGTGGCCAAACTCTACATACCTGCCTTTGACCCATATCCCTTAATACTGTCACTTAACAAAGAAATGATCTCGTTCAGATTTAAAAATAACAACTGATCTAGCATTCGCTTCCATTTGTGGAAGAGATTTCCAACCATCCACCACCATTTGTGTGTTGGAAGTGCTTCCTAACATCTCTCCTGAATAGTCTAGCTCTAAACCTCAGACAATGCCCTTAGTTCTAGAATCCCTAACCAGTGGAAATAGTTTAACTTTGTCTACTCTGTCTTTTCATGTTAATATTCCGAAAACTTCGATTAGATCACCCCATAACCATCTAAATCCTAGAGAAAGCCAGCCTGGTTTGTACAGTCTCTCCTGATAACTACTGAAGTCCAGATATCATTTTTGTAGCCCTATGTTGTATTGCCTCCCAAGACCAATATATCCCTCTTAAGATGTGGTGTCCAGATCTGCACACGGTGAGGTCTATCCAGAGTTTTACATAATCACAAATTAACATCTGCATCCTTGTACTCCAGTCCTCCTCCACGCCATCCTCCAACATGAGAGTCCCTCCACATTAAAATGTAGGACAATCAGCACCACAGCCTGCCTCCTGTACCTTGCATCATTTTATATCCGTTCAGCCCCTGGCCCTGGAATCCCCGAACATGGGAGTTTTGCTTCCCAGAGTGCATCGTCATTAGTATAATGCCATTGAGTGTTGTTGGAGGGAGTTGTAGGGTAGGGACGTTTGTATTCCAGATCAGCAGCTGCTCCCGTTGATGTGTTGAGGTGGAACGGCTGTGGTGTGTGTGATGTGTCCTGCATGCCCCTGTGTTGGGACTTTATCTGTGGCCATATCTGACTGAAAGTGCTCCCTGTTTCAGATCCAGTCTCCAACCTTCATGCCTCTGATCATGTGTCCGAGCCGCGAGTGTCAAACCAACAAATCAGGAGGGCGGCTGTACCTGCAGTCGAGGGGGTCAAAGTTCATCAAGTTCCAGGAGATCAAAGTTCAGGAACATGTAAGTAGCCAAAAGATGGATTTGCTTGCCATGGTCGTGGGGGAGCTGCAGGGACCTCTTGCTGAAGGCTCCTTCTGTCAGAATGTTAACAAGAACTTTGTTTATGCCACAACCCCCAGAGTGACCAGGTGCCAGTGGGGAACATTCCCCGCAGCATGACAGTGTACAGCCGAGGGGAGAACACAAGACTGGCGCAGCCTGGAGACCATGTCACCATCACTGGCATCTTCCTCCCCCTGATGAGGACGGGCTTCAGGCAGGTGGTTCAGGTAAGGGCTCGAGGGGACTGGCTGGAGTCAAGCTGATGGGCTGTGTCGCACTCTCCCGTTTCTGGATCATAAGAATGAATCTTTGCAGTCACACTGGGATCAAAATCCATGCTTTTGCATGTACTATTGGGGATGTGCGCTGAAAGCTGACACAGCCAATGGAGCCCACATCCCGTGAATGAATAACAAGAAAAAGAGCTTTAAGCTATTTAGGTCTGATGTTCATGTCTTGGGGACCTGGGGTCAAATCCCACCATGGCAGATGGTGGAATTTGAATTCAAGAAAGAATCTGGAATGAAGTTTAATGATGACCATGAATCCATTATCAACGGTCAGAAAACCCATCTGGTTCACTAACGTCCTTTAGGGAAGGAAACTGGCATCCTTACCTGGTCGAGCCCACATGTGACTCCAGACCCACAGCAATGTGGCTGACTCTTAAACTGCCCTTTGGGCGATTAGGGTTGGGCAATAAATGTTAGCCCAGCCAGCGATGTCCTCATCCTGTGAATAAATTAAAAGAAAAAGCATTTTCAGTATCCATTGATGTTTTAATTTTGTAGAAATTTATCAGTTTCTGTCTTGTACGTACTCAGCGACTGAGTCTCCACATCCCTCTGAGTTAGAGAATTCCAAAGGTACACATGCAGATTCACACTTGTCCATGTTGATGGGACTGCAGCCCAAAGGATGGATCAGTGCAGTTAGAGCCCTGAGAGGTGAGGAGTGCCCTTATTAGAGGGGGGTCAATGGAGAGGAGCAGGAGGCTGGAGAACCACGTGACATGGATTGAATGTGAATGACCACGAAACGAGCGCCGAGCTGATGGTGTTGGGGGTAGTTTAGTCATGCAGCGGCTAGAATGCAGAAGGAGCGGTGTGGAGGAGGCAGGGTCGGTTGTACTTTCAAAGGGAATGGTTTGAGCACCAAAGAAGAATCGCAGGGCTGTGGGGAAAGGGGCTCCTGCCTGTTGCAATACTAATCGAGCCGCTCTGGTCCCAGGGTCTGCTCTCGGAAACATACCTGGAGGCTCACAGGATCTCTCAGATGAACAAGAGCGAAGATGACGAGCTGGGGCCACAGGAGCTGAGCGAGGAAGAGCTGAGGCAGATCACTGGTAGGTACAGGGCGGTGAGGGATCGGGGGTGGGGAACGACCGCGGAGACGACTTTGCGTTGCTGCCGGCTGATCTGTGAGGTTCTCAATCAGCTTGGTGTGCCGCACTCAAGCAGCGAAGTAAGTGGATGTGATGCACCGAGACACCAGGTTTGACTGATGGTCTAAAACTGAAGTTGCTGGAAAAGCTCAGTAGGTCTGGCAGCATCTGTGAAGAAAACATCAGAGTTAACGTTTCGGGTCTGGTGACCCTTCCACCGATCAACCTGCTCCCACGCTGTAGGGATTCTGAGTGAGTAGAGTCTCAGTGCAGGGTCGTCTCTGAGCGATTGTAAATGGGTCCTGGGAGTAATCGACTGTGGCAGGGGTGAGGAGATGGTGACTGAGTGTCGGATGTGCCAGTCCTCGGAGCAGCTTCAGGGAATCGATGGCCTAGTGTTATTATCACTGGACTGTTAATGCAGAGACCTGGTTAACATTCTGGGGACCTGGGGTTCAATCTAGCTATAGTAGATGGTGGAATTTGAATTCAATAAATATCTGGAATAAGAGTCTAATGATGACCATGAAACCATTGCCAGTTGTTGGAGAAACCCACTTGGTTTGCTGATGTCCTTTAGGGAAGGAAACTGCTGTCTACATGTGACTCCAGACTCACAGCAGTGTGCAGTTTGTTAGCTCGCTGAGCCAGTTCTGTGGTGTGCAGACGTTTTGTTATCCTTCTAGGCAACATCATCAATGTGACCTCTAATTGAAGCGTTGGTGTCATGCTTCCTTCTGGATTTATGTAATCCTCTGGTGTGATGGTCTTGTCAATTCCAGTTCTGTTGTTTTAGCAGTGGTCTGTGTGTGGGGTTTATTTCCGAGTGTTTGTTAATGGAGTCCCGAGTTGAGAACGAGGCTTCCAGAAATTCCCTTGCATGTCTGGTTGTTCGCTTGTCCTAGTAAGGTCACTTTGACCCAATTGAACTGATGGCCCATATTGTCTGCGTGTATTGAAACGAGTGAATATTGGTTGTGTCCTTTTACTGCCAGCTGGTGTTTGTGTATCCTGGTCATTAATTTCCTCCCTGTTTGTCCAAAGTAACGTTTATTGCATTCGCTGCATGGTATTCTGTATATCACATTGGTCTTGTTTACTGTCGGTATAGTGTCTTTAGTCTTTGATAACATTTGGCGCAGTGTTGCTGTAGGTTTGTGCTCAATCATGATCTTATGCGGCCTTAAGAGTCTGGTAGATTTTTTTTGACATAGAGTAGCGTTGCTAGTGTCTTCTGTTGGCACTGTGTCCTCTGTCAGTAACAAACACCTAGAAATAGACCCTGTGTACAGACCGCTGCTAAAACAACAAAACCGGAAGCGACAAGATCATCATGCTAGAGGATCATATAAATCCAGGAGAACACCAGCGTTTTGATTAGACGTCGCACTGACTATGTTACCTAGGAAGGGCAACAAAATGTCTGCACACCACACAGCAATTGGCTTGGCGAGCTAACAAACAATTGCACCCAAGACCCGAGCTACGAATTTTCACTAAGACCACAGCAATGTGGTTGCCCTCTGAGCACTTAGGGGATGGGCAATAAATGCTAGCCTAGCCAGCGATGCCCTCGTCCCCTGAATGAATAACAAGGGGGCTGGTGACCCCGACGTGGTATTCGTCTGCACTGCTGGACTGTTGCACTCACAAGTCCGATGTCAGCAAGTAAGGGCTTGCCCCTTTTTTTTTTTTTTTGAAAGGGGCAGGAGTGAGGTGCGATTGGGGTACTTAATGAACAGTGTTTCTGGTTACGTGGTGTCAATGGGTAAAATTTTGACAAAGCAGAACACCGCAGCTCAAGACCTGATGGGTGCTGTGACCCTGGTCTTCTGGGCTGACACTGTCCAGCCGTGGGTACTGTGAGCTGACCCATTGTCTCTTTTGCAGAAGAGGATTTCTACGAGAAGCTCGCAGCCTCAATTGCGCCTGAAATCTACGGGCACGAAGATGTGAAGAAGGCTCTGCTGTTGCTCTTGGTTGGAGGGGTCGATCAGTCTCCCAAAGGAATGAAGATCAGAGGTAAGGGCTGCTGAATTTACATTGCCTTTGTTCTCAGTACAGACTTTGTCCAACTCTGTCCCACCAATTTAATTTGGACACAAAATCTATTTAATTTCACTCTGGGATGGAATTGATTCAAAGACTGTAAAGTCTTTGTATGTAGAAGGGAGTTGGTTGTGTTTGATTCAGATCTTTACCAACATGTGCCGTTGTGGGAGGGATGTTATTGCATTGGAGGGTGTTCGGAGGGAATTTACTAGCACTTGGAGGATTTGAGTTATGAGGAGAGGTTGTATAGGCTGGGAATTTTTTGCCACCGGAGCATTGTACAGCGTAGGACATTGGGGTTTATAAAATCATGAGGGGCATGGATAAGGCAACTAGCAAAGGTCTTTTCCCTAGTTTGGGGGAGTTCAAAACTTGACATTTTTAAGGAGAAAGATTTTAAAAGGACCCAAGGGGCAACTTTTCGCACAGAGGGTGGTGTGTATGTGGAATGAACTGCTAGAGGCAGTGATAGATGCAGGTACGGTTACAATATTTAGAAGATATTTGGACAGGTACGTGAAGAGGAAAGACTGAGAGTAATATGAGCCAAACACAGGCAAGAGGGACTAGTTTAGCTGGGAAACTTGGTTGGCATGGACGAGTTGGTTCGAAGGGTGTGTTTCCATGCTGCATGACCCTGTCTTTGGCCCATTGAGGCAATCTTTGTGTCATTTAGGGCTTCTTATCTTAAACCTGCTCTCTGTAACCCCGGCCAAATGCATTCACAGTAAACCTCTGGTATCGCTAACCCGTTTCTTATTACCATAGCCTCTGATATCCTACTTAATCTAATCTCGCACGCGCTCTCGCTTCCCCAACTCTTGCCTATTCCGCCTGGCTTCAGCCTGGCAAATAACATTCATGCCCCACAACAGGCTGGTACTGACCATCTACAAAAAGAGAAGAATCTGTCTGTCACCTCTTGATATTCAGTGGTAGTGGTGATGCTGTTGCTGAATCCCCCACTATCAACATCGTGGGGGTTATCATTGACCAGAAACTCAACAGAACTGTCCAAACCAGTAGAGTGGTCACAAGAGCTTGGAATTTGCAGCGAGTATCTCATCCAGTCTCCCCAAAGCCTGTCCACCATCTACAAGTTTGATGGAATACTCTCCACTTTCCAGAATGAGTGCAGCTCCAACAACACTCCAGCTTGACAGCATCAAGGATAAAACGGCCCATCCACCATCTTAAACATTTACTTGCGACCAGTGCTCAGCAGCAGCATGTACCACCCACAAGATGCACTACAGCAGCTCGTCAAGGCTCCTTAGACAGCACCTTTCAAAGCCTTTGCCATCTAGAAGGACGAGGGCAGCAGGTACATGGGAACACCACCTCCCTCTGTACTCCCCTTTGAGCCACTTCCCATCCTGACTTAGAAATATATTGCTGTTTCTTCAATGTTGCTGGAACTCCCTCCCTATTGGCACTGTGTGGATGTCCCGACACCACATGGACTGCAGCGCTTGAATAAGGCAGCTCATTCCCACTTTGACAATGACCATTAGGGATGGGTAATAAATGCTGGCCCACCAGTGACGTCCACATCTTATGAATGAATTTTGGGAAAAAATATCCAGACCCTTTAATTTCACTCCCAGCAGAAACGCACTCATCCTCTGACCTGTCCGTCCTCCCTAGACTTACCTATCTCCTCCCTAACTCCCCACCTACACTCACCTTTTACTGGCTCCATCCCCGCCTCTTTGACCTGTCTGTCTCCTCTCCACCTATCTTCTCCTCTATCCATCTTCTATCTGCCTCCCCCTCTCTCCGTATTTATTTCAGAACCCCCCTTCCCCCTCCCCCATTTCTGAAGGAGGGTCTAGGCCCGAAACATCAGCCTTCCTGCTCCTCTGCTGCTGCTTGGCCTGCTGTGTTCATCCAGCTCTACACCTTGTTACCTCTCACTTCCCCATATCCTTTCGATATTGTCTAAAGGTCTCTGATTCCTCATTCTCTCAAATCATGGACACTACTCAGCCACTGTATCTCGCTAAAAAGTGCCCACTTTACGTAACTTTAAAATATTTGGTAATTTCTCTTTAACTCTGTACCCTGTGAAAATCTGCTTCTGCATCTTTTAATGCAACCTTGATTATACACAGACAAGGAGCGGGAATGGTTCTTTGGTCCCTCAACCCTAATGCTAACCGTCACACCATGTAACAGGGTTGTGGCTGATCTGATTGTGAGTTAAAACTGTCTGCGTGGGTTTGCTTCAGTTTCCTTCCGCAGTCCAGGGGTCTGTAGGCTAGGTAGATTAGCCATGGTAAATAGTGCAGGTGAGGTTGGGTCTGGGTGGGGTGCTGTTCGGAGGGTGGGTGCAGACTCAATAGGCCGAATGACGTCTATCTGCCCTGTAGGAATCCTTTGATTCTAAGAACTGTGTTTCCCTTCTGCTTGCTTTCAGGAAATATTAATATTTGTCTGATGGGTGATCCCGGTGTGGCCAAATCACAGCTGCTGTGTTACATCGACCGACTTGCGCCAAGGAGTAAGTGCCCAACTTCTGAACTTGCCAGGCCCCAGGAGTTATTTACTGACATTGTGCGCGATGTTCCTGTTGTTCCAATGTCTGGGTGGGAATGGTGGAGTGTTTTATGGAATACAATTATGTAACATATGCTAAATTCTGTTGGGTTTGTGTTGCAAACTTGTACTGTTGAGTGTGTGATTAGATTTAATCTTTGCTCCAGGGTCTTTTTGCTCTGTCCTAAACAGATCTTTAAAAAATCTTGTTATGATGTATATGTAGTTCTTTTCTCCGGTCTGTCCACATAAGGAAGTCATGTTCCTGCATCTTTTCCCGTAGCTGTTTTCTCCTCAAACAGGTTGCCAGAATCTGTTGCTTGATGTGGAGCAGTGCCCACAAGCTGTATTGACCGGCAGTGTCTCCCTGTCTCTTAGCACCCACCATTGGCACATTCCTAAGGATTTGTGCATTGATATTCACATTTGGAGTACTGTGAGCAGTTTTTGAAATGTATTATTTAATTGCAGATAGTTCAGAGAGGCTTCACTTATGATCCCTAGTAATGAGGGATTGTCTTATGAGCAAAGGCTAAATAGGTTGGAATTCTTAGACAGGTGATCTCAGTGAAACATTTAGGATTCTTAACATTTACCCTCATGGAAGAGTCTAGGACCAGAGAGCATAGCTTCAGAATAACAGACTGAGATGAGTAGGAATTCCCCTCACTCTCTGAGCATTGAGTCTTCGGAATTGCTTGCCTGTGGGGACAGACTCCTTGTGTATATTGAAGGCTGAGATAGATTTTTTGATCGGTAAGGGAATCGAGGGTTATGGGGAAGGGGCAGGAAAGTGGCCATGTGGAATATCAGAGACTGTGATCCTATTGAATGGCGGAGCAGTCTTGTTGGTGCCAAATGGCCTACTCCTGTTCCTATTTCTTGTGGTCTTATTTAGAAATGTCATTTGACTTAGTGGTAATGTCACTAGACTATGAATCTGGTGGTCCAGGCTCATGCTGTGGGAACACAAGTTCAAACCCCACCATGGTGAAATTTAAAGTCAGTTGACAAATGTGGATTTGAAAGAGGTGGTCTCCTTCAGTCTCGGTCTCCCGAAGCCGTGTCCCGTGGTAAGTAGTGCCCCAGTACCTGATGTCCTTGTGCAGGCTCTAATTGCAGATCATGAGGAGGAGAGAGGGTGAGAGGCTGAAAATCAGGGACATCACAGGAATGAGAATGTGACATGGATATGAGTTTGGCCAAACAAGAAACGGGTGAAGGATGTGAGAATACAGGATGGAGTCTAGGGGTAGGGAGGCTGATTACCACCCTGTAGCTTGGCAAATGGATCGTTCTGTGAATTGAAACTGTGTCCCCTTGGGTTGGGGATGGCCAATGAGGGCCTGCTGAGCCATGTCTCATGAATTTTTAAAAATTGGTCCAGCGGCAGTCGGAGTATTGCTGATAGAATCTGTGTTGACTCTACCTTAATCTTTGCCTGCCCCCCAGGTCAGTATACCACAGGTCGTGGGTCTTCAGGCGTGGGTCTGACTGCTGCAGTGATGAAGGACCCAGTTACTGGGGAGATGATCCTGGAGGGTGGAGCCCTAGTGCTGGCCGACCAAGGCATCTGCTGCATCGACGAGTTTGACAAGATGATGGACTCTGACCGGACTGCCATTCACGAGGTTATGGAGCAGCAGACCATCTCCATCGCTAAGGCAAGTGGTGTCCGCAGCCTGAGATCAGGGAAGGAGGGGAATCATTCAACTGGTCCACAATCTTCCGTGTTACCATTCACACGTGTCACTTAGCAACTTTTTATTTTGTTTGGGCCACTGATTTGCTCCACCAAAGCTTTTGTCATTGTTAAGACCCCTCGGTCTATTTTCTTTTTGTTTTTTGAAGAGTCCCAGCCTGTAAATCCTTTCCTGATTTCAATCCTGGAATTGTCCTTCATGATTGCCCACCTCTCCAGTGCCTCTATATTCTTTATGTAAAATGCCAACTGGAATTGGCTGCAAGATGTGGCATCACAATAGTTCGATACACATTTGGCATGTCCTCCCTCCTTTTCATTATTAGGTGGTCTGAACATTATACTTAGCAGCGTGATTAATCCTCCAGCATCTTTTGTCTCTGACCCTGTGCAATCTGATTTTTGTCTTGCTGATGGTTGACTCTATCTTCCTGTGCCACTTCACCTCCCAGTTTTACCTCCTGCCTTTTCAGGATACGTTACATTCCCAGCACTGATTTTTTTTTTCTCTGTTTGTATCCCAAGAGGTAACTGGGATAATGGCGCTTGAGAGCAAAGCTGAAATAGTCATGCAAAGAGAAATCATTTTGTTCCCAAACTGATCCTAACCCCCCCCCCCCCCCCCCCACCCCCCACCCCTCATTGCCAGATTACTCTTTCCCTTCTGTTGTTTCCAGGCTTGATGTGGTCCTCTCCTGCTCTGCTACGGGTAATCCGCTTTGGAGCGGTTTCGGGGACTGAGGGCGGGTGAGCCACCCCTGTTGTGAAATTGTGAAAGGGTTGCTTCCCTTGCAGGCTGGCATCATGACCACACTGAACGCTCGCTGCTCGATCCTGGCGGCTGCCAACCCTGCTTACGGCCGTTACAATCCCAAGAAAACCGTGGAGCAGAACATCCAGCTCCCAGCCGCACTGTTATCCAGATTTGACCTGCTGTGGCTCATTCAGGACAAACCTGACCGGGACAATGACCTGAGGTGCGACTGGTGTGGTTGGGGGCGCAGGGGATGCGGAGGGGGGGGGGGGGTGGGGGGAAGCGGCAGGGGCACTGCCGGCACAAGGAAGGGGGGGGGAGGGTGGTTGCTGAGGGAGTGGCAGTCATGGGGGTAGGGTGTAATGGTCCTTTTGTAGGTGCAGCCATTTGCAGGCAGGAAGAGAGGAGGAATCTTTTGTCAGTGCAGCATTCACTGCTGAGCAACTTCGATCAATGAGCTATGCTCCTAGCCCCTTCTGCGAAGTGATAGCATTTTCGCTGCAGCTGCTCTGAATTGAGCACTTCTGATGCATCTGTATTCAAATCTCTCTTCTCTAAGAAGAGTTAACAAGTCAAATTTCTCCGATCTGTCCCCAGAGCTGAACTCATGGAATTATTCTTCGTAATTTCGTCCTTTCTGCACCCTTTCAAACCTTCACATCTTAGAATTGCTACGGTGTGTAAGCAGGCCATTTGGTCCATTGAGTCCCCACCCAACTCTTCAAAAAGCATCCCACTCTTTACCCTGTTCTGGTAACCCTGCATTTCCCACGGCTAATCTATCCAGTCTGCACATCCCGGGACACTATGGGGAAATTTAGTATGGCCAATCCACCCTAACCTGCGCGTCTTTGGACTGTGGGAGGAAACCAGAGCAACTGGAAAAATCCACGCAGACACGAGGAGAATGTACAAACTCCACACAGACAGTCGCCTGAGGGTGGAATCGAACCCGGGTCCGTAGTGCTGTCGGGCAGCAGAGCTAACCACTGAGCCACCTTGCTGCTCATCCTTTCTGAAGTTTCAGATCCTCGATTGGACACATTACTCCCGACTGAAATGGGGTTTTTAAAAATTTATTTGTGGGATATGGGTGCACTAGGGAGGCCAATATTTAATGACAATCAATTGCCCAGAGGGCACTTAAGAGTCAATCTTGTCATGGTGGGCTTGGAGTCATGTGTAGGCCAAACTGGGTAAAGATGGCAGATTCCCTTCCCAATTGGACATAAGTGAACCAGGTGGGTTTTTGTGGCAACCTTGGTCGCAACTAGGCAAGCATATCCTTTTCAGATTTTGTTTTATTATTGAATTCATATTCTGCTGGGCTTCAAAGCCACACCCTCAGAACGGTGAGGGCCTCTGGATTGTTCGTCCCATGACATTACCTCTGTGCTGGCACCTCCCCATAGTTGTCTACAGTTACTTAGTTTTTATTCTGTGTCTCGGTTTACAAGGCCCAGGGGTCCCGTCAGACTTTTGAACCACTTTTTCAGTTCACCTTCAACAGTTTGTGCGGCTGTCCCTCCAGATCTCTTGGTTCTTGCACCCTGCTTATAACTGTGTCCTTCATTTCCGTCCGCTGACATCTTGCTCATGTGGCTATACTGTTGACAGTTCTCAACCTTTCCAAGTTTTGCCATCTACAGATCTCGAAATTATGCACTGCCCACACAAGTCTTTTTCTTTATTAAAAGGTGAAAAAATTGGTGGTCCTGTTACCATCTCCCTGGAGAGACCACACAGCAGGCATCCTCCAGCCCAGAAAACAGTCATTTGCCACCACGCTGTTCAGTGCCTGTCTTTGCTGCGGCTGTCTTTTTTTTTTAATTCTGTGGGCTGAGACTGTGTGAACCAGCTCATTTATGTGACACCTTATCAGCCTACCTACGCCCTTGTTCTCATCAACAAAAACAGACATTGATTGGAAATTGTTCTTATCAAGCCTAGTTCAACAAAACAGAAATCGCAGTTCTTCTTCAAATCCACGCAGGTTCACCTGAATTAAGTTGCACTCATCCAAGTGACAATTTTAAAAACCCGAAAGAACTGCAGATGCTGAAAATCAGAAACAAAAACAGAAATTGCTGGAAAAAGCTCAGCAGGTTTGAGGAAGTTCCCGTTCTGAGGAAGGGTCACTGGACCCGAAACGTTAACTCTGATTTCTTTCTGCTGACAATGCAAGAGCTGCTGAGCTTTTCCAGTGATTTCTGTTTTAGTGACTGATACTTTTGTACCCCAGTATTTCCAACACCACCTCTACTAATATTTAGCCCATCCACCATGCAAACTAACTTGCCTTTCACTGTGACTTCCTCTGTCTTCCTCAAAAGACAGTCTTTGTTTTTGTTTTGTATCTTAGTTACACTCCACTCTCTTGGCGGTTGATTTGATCAGCTGGCTGGACAGCTAGTTCTCAATGCAGTATAATACCAATGACGAGCGTTCAATTCCCACACTGGCTGCAGTTATCACGAAGGCACTCCCCTCTCAAGCTGGTCTCTCTCCTGAGGCGTGGTGACCCTCAGGTTAAACTCAGCGCCAGCCATCCTACGGTACTATGGCGACGTTATCACATCTCTCTGTTACCTGCCATATTCCACGAGGCTGTGCTCAAAAGCAAGTTCTTGGCTCAGTCCATCCCCCATTCACAGTTATTTTTTAATGTCTGTCCAATTTTTTTTGCAGAGCTTTTCCTACAAGTTGGTGCCCTAGATAATGCATCCAGTAGTGGAATAGTTGGCTGCCTTGTTTCTTAGCTTTGACCAAATTCCTTCTTATTCTTTGTCTGTTTATTGATTGCCCTGCACCAGGATTGTTTTATACCCAGTCTTGTGCTGTTTGAGTTGGGCCTTTGATAGCGTGACATCATATTGGCATATGACTGCTCGTATCTGCAGCTCACTAATCCTGTTTGCCATTTTGTGTGCTCTCATACTTCGAAAGCTGGCTCTTTTCAGATTTGAGCTGCCCCGTCTCTACTGACCCCATATACGCTCCAAACCAGTCACAAAGGCCTTCCTCCTGCACCAGTCGCACATTCGTCTGTTCTACCCTGTCTTATTTGTGTTCCCATTTCTGGGAGTAATCTGGAGATCACTACCTTTTTTGGAGGTTGCCTTTGCTGGTCTGCTTCGGATCTCTGAAAGGTTCACTGTTTGTTGGGAAGGGAAGGGAAGGAGTGGGTGAAAATGATTGGGTACTTGGTTCTGTGTAATTTTAATGGCTGACGGCGAGGCTGCTTCCTCGGGGTGGAGTGCATTCTGGGCTATGATGGTCTGACTGGGCTGGAGGGTGGGTCTTGAGGCTGCCGTCATGTTGTTTGTCTTGCGGTACCACTCCAGTGTATCGTTCGTGTACAAGTGATCCGCTGTTTGTCTCACCCACCTCCAGGCTGGCTCAGCACATCACCTACGTCCACCAACACAGCAAGCAGCCTCCCTCACAGTTCCAGCCGCTGGATATGAAGCTGATGAGGTACGGTGACTATCTCATTGCCAGCTGATGGGATATTAACATTATAAATGACGGCTGTTTCTCCCCCTTCCACCACTCCGATGTGTCTCTGCCTCTTGCAATCCCTCTCTCTTTCTCTCTCTGACTTCTACTGCCTCCTTCTGACCGTTGGGTCCCTGTTGACTTTCACGTGTCGTGTTCGCCTCTCCCTCAGGCGCTACATAACGCTGTGCAAGAAGAAGCAGCCGATGATCCCCGAGTCCCTGGCAGATTACATTACCGCTGCTTACGTGGAGATGAGGAAGGAGTCGAGAGTCAACAAGGACATGACATTCACCTCTGCCCGGACCCTGCTGTCCGTCCTGCGTCTGTCCACTGCTCTGGTGAGTGAGGCTGCTGGACTTTGTCTTCCTGATCCCTCCGCGGGCAATGGGGCAGTGATCCGGCGTCCACTGCTTCTTGTGTTTCTTCCTGTGGCCTTGGTGGAGGGTTGGGGAGTAGAAGAAGCTCCGTCTGGCCCTGAGAGTTGGACATCTGCAAAATACGACTGTCCTTGGCCCAGTCAGGTGGGTGGCTCTCCTTGGACCAGCACAGTTTCAAAATATCAAAACCAGACCTTTCAGGCAAAAGGTCTGCGTTGCAAAGGGTGTAGATATTTGGAAGTTACCTGTCATCAGTAGTTGATGCAAAGTCAATTATCTTAAACTGGATTAATAAATATTTTGTTAACTAAAGTTGATAAGAAATATGGGGCAACGGTGGGTATATGGAGATGGCTTGCAGACTAGGCAAGCTCTCGTTGAACGATGGAACAGACTTATGGGGTGAAATAGCCTAATTTTGATGGTCCTGTGTGCTACTACGATGAAATGTGGCAGTGTTAATGTTACTGGAATTGGCACTCTCTCTCCTTGCCGTGGGGGCTGTGCCAGTGCTAAAGTGCTGACAGTGCAGGGAGTGAGACTCGGTACCTCCTGCACTGGGGCACTTGGAGCACTGCTCAGCCAATTCTGCCTCCCGGTCAGTACAGATTGAGAGAGCCCCTCACCAGCAAGTACCCTGCTCGGCACGTGATGTAGTTGGTTGATCCTCCTATGTGAACCTGTTCAACCCGGATCCCTGCTCTTTGGAACTATTCTGTCCACACCCTCTCTCCCTCCCTTCCCACCCTAGGTGCTCTATGCTGCTGATTCAGTGCTCCTAGGTACTCTGTGCTATCTCAGCAAATAATTTTGTTGGAACAGAGCTCCCAAGCCGATGGATAAAATGTCCATGGTGCAGGGTTATCATCCATCCACCTTGTAAGAAGGAGGTCGTGTACGTTGGAAGTTTCTACATGTCTTATGCATGAGTGCCAGCCTCTGCTGACACTGTTGAGTTTAAAGAGATGACTGGCATTTCCCAGGTAAGTCATGGAAATGGATGGAGGCTGGTTCCTGGAGCTCCAAAGTGCTGTTAGTGCAGGTAGTATGATTCAGATCTACTGCAATACAAGCACTTCTGTAGTTACAGGGGCACACAGACAGCTGTGACAGGTGTCCATACCCCTTCAGGATATATCAATCTTACAGAACATTATCTTTTATGGTTTTACCAAAGTTTGTTTGTATTTAGTCATTCATGGACTTGAGGGTCACTGGCTGGGCCAGAATTTATTCCCCATCCCTAATTGTCCCTTGTGAAAGTGGAGGTGAGCTGCCTTCTTGAGCTGCTGCAGTCCTTGGAGTGTGAAGCTACCCATACAGTGTCTTTCGGGAGGGAGTTCCAGGATGTTGACCCAGCGACGCTGAAGGAACGATGATATATTTCTAAGTCAGGATGGCGAGTGACTGGGCGGGGAGCTTGCAGGGATGGTGTTCCCATGTATCTGCTGCCCTTTCCCTTCTGGATGGTAGAGACTTGGGAATTGCTGTCTGTGGAGCCTTGATGAATTCCTGCTTTACGCTTGGTAGCAGCAGTGTGTACTGAGTGTCGCTGGTGGAGGGAGTGGACGTGGCGCCAGTGAAGCGGGCTGCTTGGTGTTGGGCTTCCTAAGTGTTGTTGGAGCTGCAGCGATCCAGGCGAGTGGAGAGATGGCAAGAACTGCAGAGACTGGAATCGGAGTCAATACAGTGTGGAGCTGGAGGAACACAGCAGGTCAGGCAGCATCAGAGGAGCAGGAACTTTGACATTTCGGGTCGGGACGATGAAGGGTCCCGACCTGAAAAGTCAACTTTACTGCTTCTCTGATGCTGCCTGACCAGCTGTGTTCCTGCAGCTCCACACTGTGTTAATCCAGGCGAGTGGGGAATATTCCATCGCACTCCTGACTTGTGCCTTGTCGATTTGTGGACAGGGTCAGGAGGCGAGTTACTCGCTGCAGCATTCCCAGCCTCTGACCTGACTAATTTCACTTGTATGGTCTTATTGACCAGAGCCCTGGCCCCTCCGGTGCTGGTGGTATTACCCTTGTTGTCTGGATGTTTTAACCCTCCTAGCACAGGATTTACTCTACAATTTCAGGCTATTGAAGGCTGTGACACAGTGCTAGTGACATGACATAGTGCAATCTCCGACATACCCTACAGTGGAGTTAACACTAGTTAACTATGTTAAAGTGTGGAGTCGCAGAATGTTTACAGCTTGGCACGATGCCCTTGCTCTCTGCAGCAATAAGTGTAGGGGCATTCTTAAGGAGATCAGGAAGGTAAAGAGAGGATATGAGATAGCCTTGGCAAATAAGGTTAAGCATAATCCACAGAGATTCTACAAGTACATTAAGAACAAGAGGACCTAGTGAGAGAGAATAGAGTCGTTTAAAGACCAAAGAGGTCGTCCTTGTATTGAATCGCAGGAGATGGGTGAGGTATTAAATGAATATTTCACATCAGTTTTTACTGTGGGGAAAGAAATGGAGGATAGAGCACTTGGGGGAAGTAAATATTGATGATTTGAAAACAGCCCACATTACAGACGAGGAAGTGCTGGAGGTCTTAGAAAACATAAAGGTGGATAAATCTCTGGGACCTGATCTAGTGCATCTCAGGACTTCATGGGAAGTTAGGGAGGAAATTGTGGAAATATCAGAAATGTTTGCATCACGTATAAATACGGGTGAGGTTCGGAGGGAAATGGGCCAAGTGCAGGTAGGTGGAACTAATTTAGTTTGGGATTATTGTCAGCACGGACTGGTTGGACCGAAGGGTCTGTTCATGTGCTCTATGACTCTATAAAAACTCACTGTGCCACTCACCTGCCTTTTCGCTATAGATCTGCCATTTCCTTTTATTCACTCTGATAAATACTCAGTTCTCCTTTCTGAAGGTCTCGGCTGCCTCTGCCTCCTCCACGCACTTGGATAACTCCAGATCCCTCTCTGTGTTCTAACTTTAAAGATCAGGCTGTTCCACACATGGCCATTGGATCTTTTGCCAGTCACCTTAAACCAATGTGCCCTCTGGTTCCTGACCCTCCTGTTGTTGGAATCACTCTCGCTCTCACTGTTCTTCAGAAAGTAGTCCCACTTAACTCACCCACTGCTGATGGGGAAAATTCCCTTCAATCCCAAGGCCCAATCTAGTCTCAAAAGTTGTTATAGTACAGGAGGGGGCCATGTGGCCCTGCCTGTCTGCACCAGCTCGCTGAATGAGAAAATTACTTAGTGCCATTATCCCACCATCTCCTTGTCACCCTTTATAATTGCTTCTTAAAATAACCTCAAAAGCCTCAATTGAATCTCCTTCCACCATGCTTTCGGACACTGCACCCCAATCTTAATCAAGTGCCGTGTGAAAAGATTCTTCCTTGGGTCTTAGTTACTGCATCTACCAATTAAGTTCGATCTGTGCCCAGCCCCTTTTGCAAGTGGGTACAGCTTCTCCACGTCTCCTCTGGGTTTGACTCGCGAGATAAATGTTTTTGTTGTAAGCGGTGGTTTAGTACTGTCTTGCATTGCTTGCCTCTGTTTGGGGCCATGTGGACTCTTGCAAGCTTTCCTTGCGCCTGTCCCACTGGGTGCGTAGCTGGCCGAAGCTTCGGGATCTCTGCACTCTCTTGTCTCCTGGTGCAGGATACACTTCCAGCTCTCAGCCTGGCTCTGTGTGTGTTCTTTGGCCTTATTTTGTTTTTATTCATTCATTCATTCATTGGCTGAGAGCATTGTCAGCATTTATTGCTCCCTCCAGTTGCCCAGAGGACAATTTACGTACCAACTACATTGCTGTGGGTCTGGCGTCACATGTAAGCCAGACCAGGTAAAGATGGCAGTTTCCTTCCCTAAAGGAGCCAGATGGGTTTTTCCTGACAATCAGCAGTGGATTCATGGTCATCATTAAACGCTCTTAACTCCAGAATATTATTGCATTCACTCGCCATCTGTTGTGGCAGCATTTGATGCCTGGATGTTACCTGGGTCTCTGGATTAATAGTCTAGAGATAATCCCCCTCAGCCATCGCCTCCCCTCCTCTGCTATCTGGGAGGTCGTTGCATTTGTCTCTCTGTCTGGGCAACCCTGAGCTGATTCGGAGAGTTTGGAGCTGTGTGTCCCCTCCGGTGTTGGTTTGTGGCTGGACCATTCCAGAGCCTTGTCTGTGTCTGTGTGAGCTCTCCAGATGAGTCAGGCATTGCTGCAGCAAGTTTTCTGGCTCTGTTGCTGTGTTGGTGAGAGGGCGGTTTATACCAGGATCGGAGAGGTTGGATAGTCGAGGTCTTTTTCTGGATGAGTCTGAGATGCTGAGCGGTTTCTGCAGCCCCCTCTCTGGTCTCTTCGCGGGGTCCTTCTCCTTCAAAGCCCGTGCCTCCCCACCTCCCCCGCTGCTCTCGCTCCCTCTGACTCTTCCTGTACCTGCAGGCACGGCTCCGTCTTGTCGACACAGTCGAGAAGGAAGATGTGAATGAAGCGATGAGACTGATGGAGATGTCCAAGGATTCTCTGCTTGGAGACAAGAGTCAAACCAACAGGTAAGGATTTTGGTTGTGAGGGCTGAGCAGGGTGGGGGTGGAGGTGTGGGTGTGGGTGGGGAGTTCTGGGCAGGCTGCTGCAGCTGAGTGAAGGGCATCAGATACTAGTTTGCCCCTGAGTTCTCCCCTCCCCGTGACACTCTGGACATCAGTGGGGATGAAATTGAACGTCCTGGTTCTCTGCCCCTTACACTTGAGCTGTGCTTCTACCAGCCCCTCTTCCCCCGTGCTGTTCCCCTGTCCCCTGGAAGTGCCAGTCAGTTTTGTGATTGAGAAGGGGTGAGGGTATGTCTAGCCCTGGTGTGAGACCCTCGCTCCTGAGGAGAGCAGGGATAGGGAACAGTGATATATCCCAGTGTGTGACTCTCTAGGCCCTGGGGGCTGTCTGTTCCCTGAACCTGTGTCCACCGTGCACAGTGGCTCAGTGGTTAGCACTGCTGCCTCTCAGCACCAAGGTCTGGGTTCGATTCCAGCCTCGGGCGACTGTCTGGGTTTGCACATTCTCTGCCTAAGTTTCTTCTGGTGCTCTGGTTTCCTCCCACAGTCCAAAGATGCGCAGGTTAAGTGCGTTAGCCATAGGTAAACGTGGGTTTACAGGATAGCATGGGGTTGGGTCTATTTGGGATGATTTTCGGGGGGTGGAGGGGTTGGTATGGACTCGATGGGCCTGCTGAAGAGAGATTTTAAAGAGGAGTCTTGAGTTCTGTGTTCAGCAGCACAAATCGAACTTTATTCCGAATCTTTATTCTTACCAACGCAGCCTGCAGGAGTGTCTTGATGTAGAGTCATAGATTAATGTAGTGTGGAAACAGGCCCTTCGGCCCAAACTGATCTGTGCTGACCATGGTGCCCACCTCAGCTAGAGTAAGAAGCTCCCGAATAAAAATCGATTTGTGCTGCCGAACATGGGAGGGAACGCTCCTGTCTTGACAGGCAGAATGGTCCCTTTCTGCACTGTAGTGGTGCTGTGTCGCTGAATGAATCCTGCGTGTGTTGTTCCAGGGCACAGCGGCCTGCAGATGTGATCTACGCCATTATCCGGGAGATGATTTCTGATTCGACGGTGCGGGTGGTTAAATACTCTGAGGCCGAGCAGCGGTGCGTTTCGAAGGGGTTCACCCCGGCCCAAGTCGAGGCTGCCCTGGAGGAGTACGAGGAGCTGAATGTCTGGCAGGTGAACCAGGCCCGGACCAAGATCACCTTCGTGTGAGGGGGACCCCTGGGCAGCGACTGTTGCAGGCCATTGATCAGACTGGGATCGGCTCCACATGGTTTGCTGGCTTCTGTAATGCTCGTTCCGACCAACACCTAGCACCTAGCACCTCACTCCCTTCACCCTGCCCAGTTCATTCAACGACCTTCCTGCCTTCCTCCTCTGTGCTGTGACCTTTATTCATAGACCAGTCACGTTGGTGCCAGTTTTAACCCCAACCCTTCGAATCGTTGACGCTCAGTCTGTCACCTCCACCTCCAACTCCCACTCGTGTCTGTTTTTAATGTGTGGTAAGCTCCTGAACTCGCGCTCTGTGCAGGAGCTGAGTTAGAGATGGGAACTGTTCAATAAAGTCAGTTTGTACGATTTTCCTTTCTGTGACCTTCGTTGCTCGAGCCGTGGCTAAATGGTTAATGGTGAGGCAGCTGATGTTGGCCCTCCTGAGATGCAGGGCCCAGGACCAAACGTGGTTTTCTTCACTTTTTTGATATGTTCCTCGCTGTCAGGATCTGTACCTGTGCTTCTCATCCCCATACGAGATGGGGAAGAGAACCGGCCTATCATTGGGGCGGCACAGTGCCTCAGTGGTTAGCGCTGCTGCCTCACGGTGACCCTGATCCAAGTTCGATTCTGCCTTTAGGCGTTTGTCTGTGTGAAGTTTGCACATTCTCCCCGTGTCTGCATGGATTTACTCCGGGTGCTCTGGTTTCCTCCCACAGTCCCAAAAATGTGCAGATTAGGTGGATTGGCCATGCTAAATTGCCCATTGTGTCCAGGGATACGCAGGGTTACAGGGATAGGGTAGGGGGTATGATGCTCTTCAGAGGGTCGGTGTGGACTCAATGGGCCAAATGGCCTGTTTCTGCACTGTAGGGATTCAATGATTCTGTTTCCTTCCTTAAAGGCCATTAGTGAACCAGATGAGTCCTTGCAGCCATCAATTGGTGGCTGTCTAGATCATTGTCACCAAGATTAGCTTCCAATTCCGTATTTATTAATTTAGTTTGAATTTCACCAGACGCCGTGATGGGATTTGAACTTGTCTTCCCCAGACCATTTCCTTGGGCCTCTGGGTTACTAGCCCAGTGATGTAACCGCTTCTCCACTCCGCACCAGTAATGTAGGACCCTCTACACGAGCAGTGCAAGGAATTTGCAGAACTCCACCAATAACATTGCAAGGAATCTGCACTCCCAAACTGCACTGACAAATCAGGGAAATGGGATCTAATGTTGCAGCAATGCAGGAATTCTGCACCCACCATAGCACATCAATTGCCCATCTCCCAGTTTAATTCAAGTGCTGCTGTATTTAAACTTGTCCCCTTATTCTAAGCAAGGATGCACTTGCACTGAAGATTTGCTAATTTGGTCCCTGGAATGAGGGAGTTTTCTTTTGGAGAGGCTGAGTAATTTGTGTCAACATTCTTTTGTTCCGCTCGTTCTTCCAAGATCTGACTTCTTTGAAACCTACAAGATTCTGAAGTTATTGACAGGGTTGATGCTGCGAGATTGTTTGTTTGTTTTTTCCCCTCGGGCTGAGGAATCTTAAAACATGAGGGGCACAGTCTCGGGATAAGGCAGCCAATCAATTTGGACTGAAGTGAGGAGAAACGTCTTCACTCAAAGGATTGTGAATCTTTGGAACTCTCCCCTTTGGAGGCTCCACCGAAAAAATATGACTAAGGCTGCTATTGATTGAAGTTTGAGGTCTTGGGGAATTGAGGGTAGCAGGCAGAAAGTGAAGCTGGAACCCAAGATTAGCCACAATTGTATCGAATGGTGGGTTGAATGGCCTCCAATTTCATACGTTATTCTCAATCTCTCAACTGGAATAACGTAACGGCGAGTATGCCAAGCGACCTTTTTATTAATTTAAAAACCTTCAGCCTCTTGTATAAATAGGCACAGCTCCTGTGGCTCTGAGCAGTATTTGTTATCTACGCTGCCTCTTAACATTGCACAGTATCCCAATTAAATCGCACTAGCTCTCCTCAAACTCTCTCAGCCAAATCAGGAAACGTTGAAGCCCTGGAACAGAACCTGGTGAATGCAACTTGGCACAACTCATTGATCGGAATTGGTTTGTTTTATTCCCAGTCTCCCATCTCCCTTCTGTGTCCTCCCTTCCTTTAGCTCTCTCATCTCCCTCTCTTTTCTCTGCTCTCTCATCTCCCCCTCTTTCTCTCCCTTCGTCTTGCTCCAGCTCCCGATCTTGGATGTTTAGTCTCGTGGTTCTGGTATCTTCGTAACTTTCTGTTCCCACTGCATCCCTGGCTTGAGGCTGCTCTGAGCCTGCAGGTCTTAGTTCCCCACAAAATTTGGAGCAGAAGTAGGCCACTCAGCCCATTGAATGGGAGAGCAGAATCAATGACTTGATCTCAAATCCACTTTCCTGCCCAACCTCTTCACCCTGGACTGCCCTAAAATCAGTCTCTGTACTGAAAGACCCAGCTTCCGCAGTCCTCGGATAAAGAATTCCACAGATTCACTCCCCTCTCAGAGAAGTAATTCCTCCTCATCTTCGTGTTCAGTATGCGACCCCTCCTTCTGAGTTCTCTGGTCCTGGACTCTCCCATAAGAAACAACCTTTCCATATCCTCTGTGTCAAGTATCCTAATGTTTCAGTGAGGTCACCATTCATTCTTCTGAGTTCCGATGAGTACAGGCCCACACAATGTAGCTTCTGAAAAGACAGTCTGTCCATACCCAGGATCAGCTTAGTGAACCTTTGCTGGACTGCCTCTAATGACAGTATGTCTTTCCTTAGATAAGGGGTCTAAAAAGGCTCATAGTGTTCCAGCTGTGGTCTGACCAGTGCAAGCCTCCCTATTTTTATATTCCATTCCCTTTTGAAATAAAGGCTAACATTCCATTTGCCTTCCCTATCACTTGCTGCACTCATATGTTAGCTTTTTGTAATTGATGGCACTAGTGATGAGAGTTCCCAATATAGCAGACAGGAGAAACTGGAGTTTTGAGAGGATTAACCACAAACGATTGTTTCTACAGCATGGTGAATGTGTTGCTCAGGATAATATTGAGCAACATGAAAGTGGAGAGTGAAGTAATGATAGAGCATCGGAAGATCTGTAATACTTGCAGAGTTTCATAACGCACAATAGTACTTTGTCGCCTACTGTTGCAGCCGTGCATACCCTAGAATGTCATTTGTAACATTACCAGGAGATGGCAGCAGGAGCGTGTCTAAGGTAAACTTTTGAACTAGGAGCAAGACTAGGTTGTTCAGCTCCTCAAGTCTGCTCTGCTTCTCAAAACATGGCTGATCTGATAATAACTCCTAATCCACACTCCCACCTATACCAATAACCTTTTCACTCCCTTACTTATCCGGAACCCGTACTCTGCCTTAAAAATATTCAAAGGATCTGCTTCCACCACTTTTTGAGGAAGAGAAAAAATAATCCTTCTCATCTCTGACTAAAATGAATGACCCTTGATTTGTAAACAGTACCCCCTAGATCTTGATTCTCCCACAGAGGAATTATCCTCTCCACATCCACCCATCTGGGGTCTCGTATGATTTGATTTATTATTGTCACATGTACCTAGGTGGAGTGAAAAGTTTTGCTTTGTATGCAATACAGGCAGATCACACCATACGAAGTGCATTTGTAATAGAACAAAGCGAGGAATACAATGTTACGGCTGCGGAGAAGGTGCACGAAGAGTGAGAGCAACATTAAATTTAAAATTTGAGAGGTCCGTTCAGAAGTCCAATAACAACAGGGAAGACACTGTTCTTGAATCTGTTGGTTCATGTATTTAAGCTTTTGTATCTTCTGCCCAATGGAAGAGGTTGGAAGAAATTACGACGAGGTTGGGAAGGGTCTTTAATTATGTTGGCTGCCTTTCTGTGGCAACGAGAAGTGTGGATGGAAGGTTGGCTTGCAGGATGGTCCGGATTGTGTTCACATTTATCTGTTTGAATAGAATCGCTTTTTACGCTTCTAACTCCAGTTGATACAAGCCCAGCTGGTTTCATCTTTCCTCATACAACAGGGATAAGTCTCGTGAACCTGTGGACTACTTCCAATGCAATTACATACCACTGTACTGCGGATGTGGTCTCACCATTGCTCTGTGTAATTGAAGCATAGCCTCCCTACTTATGCATTTGATGGCCCTCATGATAAATGAGAACATTCTACTAGCTTTCTTGGTTACTTGCAGTACCTCTTGTGATTCATGCACAGGGACACGCAGATCTTAAATCCAAGGAACCTTGATTTGATTGGACTCCAACTACTGTACATGTTTCTGGTCACCATATTAAAATAGCGATATTTCAGAGGGACAATAACAGAAAAAAAGACTTACCTGGATTATGCAGGCACTCTGAAGTGATATATGTAGAAGGTCTTGGGTTTATAAATAAAGGCATTGAGTATAAAAGCAAGGAAGTAATGCTACACCTCTACAAATCATTGGTCAGACCATAGTTGGTGCAGTGTGTTCGGGTCTGGGCACTTTTTTTTAAGCAAGGATGTTAAAGCCCTGGAGAGAGTTTAAAAGTGATTTATGAGAATGATGCTATAAACGTGGGATTTTATAAATTCAGAGAAAGAGACATGGGGCTTATTCTTCTAGAAGCAGAGATGATTAAGAGTTGATGTTATTGAGATGTTCAAAAATATGTACAATTTTGATAGGGTAAAGAAGGATATTCTGTTTCCACGAGTTGGTAGGTCACTAACTGGAGGTCATGATTTCAAGATTGTCGGTAAGAGAACTAGGGGTGAGATGAGAAAAAAATCTTCTTTACTCGGAGAGTTGTGTGGATTTGGAATGCACTGCCTGGGAGAGTGGTGGAGGTGGATTATGTAGGTCTCAAAAGAGAGCTTTGAAAATTTGAAAATGAAGAATTTAGAAGGCTGGAGGGTGGGCTAGCTGGGTAGCTCTTTTGGGAGCTGGTGCAAACAGTATGGTCCTCCTTCTGTACTGTAAATTCCATGATCCTGTATCAGGAATAGACGCACTAGCTAGATATTTTGAAACCTAATAGATCTCTTAAAAATCATGGCATATTTGCTGGAGTGGACACAGAGTTTCCACTTGTGGAAAATTAAGGAACTTGAATATTAGATTTTCTATTCAATTCCTTAGTAATGACAATCAGAAGAATTTAGAAACAAAAATGCCAAGCTGTCCAATAAATCAATGCCAGTTGATTCTTAACAAAAAAGCTACCCACCATTCCTAGCCCACAACTCCATAAATTAAAGCCTGTCAAATGCATAAACAAATGTTTTCTAGATGCGATAGGGGGTTTCTACCTCTACCATCCTTGCGGGCAACAATTCCTGCCAACCTGTGCGGTAAAAGAAAATCCTCATATGCCACCTTTT